GTGTTGGATTTGTTGGGGTTGAACAAGAACTGTAGCGCTTGGTGAGCAGTGAAGATGATAAATTGCAATCCGAAAAGGTATTTGTGCAACCGTCGAACAGCCGAAATAGGGGCAAAGCTTCATTTTGAGTCTGTGAGTATCCCTTTTTCAGCTGCATTAAGTAGGCGTGAAATGCAGATCACTGGGCACTCCTCTTCTTCTAATACAGCACCCATTCCGGCGTCGGACGCATCGGTGATTAGTATAGTAGGTTTTGAAGGTGAAAACTGGGCCAAAACAGGACGATCAATAACGCAGCGAATTAAACCATGTAAGATATATTCACACTCCACCGACCATCCCCAAGCATCTAAACACTGAGCACGGAAAAGCGGCTGCGCCCTGGTAGCAAAGTTCGGGATAAATCGGGAATAGTACTGTAGGCATGCCATCACGGATCTCAAATGCGTTTGATCCTTTGGAGATTCGATGTTATTCAATGGTTTGAAATGTGTCGGATCGGGACGGTATCCACGGGAATGAACTAAGAATCCTAGAAAATCCAACTCACTCACACCAAACACATTTGGACGGCTTTATAGCCACGTTCCTGGCAAAGAACGCTTACAGTAGCTGCATAAGACGGATATCGTGTTCTTTCTTATTAAGGCCGAAAATGGGGACATCATCTCGATCAGCAAGCACACCATCGAGACCTTTGATGACACTGTCTATTACCGATTGAAAGAGGCGAGACGACACATGGAATCCGAACGGGAGAAAATTATACTGGTACATTCCCCACGGCATGTTGATTGTTGTCAAGTAGCGAGATTTTACATCGAGTGAAATCTGTTGGTATGCATCCTCCAAATCGATCTTGGAAAAATACTGGCAACCATGCAATGACTTCATGATATCCTACATTGCTCTGTAAATAGTTTTCAGTGGCTGGCAAAGTCGGGGAACGATCACAGACTCTTGTGGAACCCGGCGGGTAACGCTCTTAGAACCGGACAGGGAATTAGAAATACGAACTGATATGGTCCGTTGTGGGATAATTGCTTTAATCCAATTAACCACGGTGACGTAAGCGTGCGTGCACTGTCGCTCGAGTGTTACGTGACCATAGTTTACATCAGTTTGTGAATCCTCCACTCACTGCGGTTGCCGGTTGCCTTGCCAAAGGGCTTACTCCAGATTGTTTTGTGATGTCCATGAGAGGTGCCATAATTTTCTCGCGGTGAAACGTCTGTTTTCCAACACATTTCCGTCGTCTATGGTACGTTCCCGGATCGGCCAGATCCAGAGGGATAACAAAGACCGTCTGATCCTCAGATCCGTGTATGTTCGAATGATTGCGTGAAGCACTAAACCACAAGACAAGAGGAACAATCATAATATCATAAAAGGTCAAGATCACTGACACTGTTTGTTCACCTGTTGATCATTGACACCCCTAACACCTCCCTCCGTAGATCCTCGAGCCTCGTATGTTTTCATTCGTGACTGTGTGAAACGTCTATTACGAGGAGGATATCTAGATTCTGGCAGATGACCAGTGCGTTAAGTAACCAAATCCAACATTTACGGTTGTGTATTGTGGACGTGCTGTGTGTGTTGGAGCATCGTCTGACCACTGGCATGTATGATCATCAGGAATGATATAGTCGCGCTCAGCTAGATTGTACTTTCTTCGTGGTGTATTTGCGTGTCTAATCCACTGTTCTGTTCCTACTTGCAGTTCGTACACAACTTGTCCTCGTTTTCCTGTTATAGTTCCTGGATTCCATGTTCGACGACGCTTTCTGAAGTCCTTTGCATACACTTAGTCGCCAATATTGAATCCACGTTTTGTTTGTGGCTTTTGAACATTCATTGGTGTCGTACAACTATCGGTTGCGGGTAACTACCCGCAACCGATAGTTTAGGGAACATCGATTCGTATTTCGTCCTTATTTTCCTCCCCAACAAGCATTCACTGGATGATAGAACAATTGGCACGTTTTGATTTGGAGTGGTGAGGTGAGACACGTCCACATTTCGTCTTGTGG